AAGGGGAGGGCACTTTTGTGCCCTTTGAGAAATGTGAGAACTCAATACTTCCATCTAGTGGCCTAGAGGAGAACTTCAAACGGAACCCTATAGGCCTAGAGGGTTCCGTATAAGTCTTATAGGGAACCCTATAGGTCCTATAGGGAACCTATAGGCCTTATGAAGAACCCTATTGGTTCTATAGGGGGCTCTATAAGTTCTATAGGGAACTCTATAGATTCTATAGGGGACTCTATAGGTCCCGAACTGAACTCTATGGGGCATACAGGAACCTATAGGATTCCTTTAGGTTCCTATAGGATTCTTATCAGAATATATTGGAATCCTATAAGACATTTTCGTAAGGGAAGACCGAGGGGATTTCGATACATTCCCATTGGATTACTATTGGGCTCCCTCAAGGACATTTTGTGTCCTATAGGACCGATGAGAGTCTCATAAGAACCTTATAGATCCAAGTCGGAAGCTCATGATTACCTACTCTTATACCTTGGAAACCTATAAGTCCTATGAAAAGCCTTCAAGATACTATACGATTCCTATAGGAATCTTATGGACTCCCTATGGGACTGCATGCTTCCCTATAGGAACCCTGCAGGCTCTATAGGAAGCCCATAAGATTCCTATATATTACTATAGGAAGCGTATTTTTCCTTTAAGAAATTAAAAACAACCTGTAAAATTCCTATAGGAATCTCATGGACTCCATATAGGAATTCATGCTTCCTACAGGAATCCTATAGGTCCTATAGGAAACCTATAGGATTCCCATATATTCCTACAGAATTCCTAAAGGGCTTTTTCGTAAGGGTTCCGTTGAAACTAATTTCCGTTCGCGCGTCGCTTTCCCAGCGACCGATTGCGGCGGAAGACCGACGATCGTCTCCCGAAGCGAATGGGGTGCCCGCAGCCCCACGTCCACCTCCGCGCTCAACCCCCTCGTCCCCTACGTCGTCATCCACCACACCGAGGGCCCCCCGTGCTCCACTCGTAGCAGTTGCATCCGCAGGGTGAAGGGCATCCAGGACTTCCACATGGACACGAGAGGATGGGCGGATATCGGATACAAGCAAGTTTGAGCAATCGACGCGTGGCATGCCGATGTTCCCGGATCACTTCGAGTCCTATTCGTTAACAGATTGGCAAAGCAGGATAATCCATTCTTAAATCGGCCAAGTCTCGTGCACTTGACCGAAAAAAAATTCTAATATGTTACATGCAAATCTTCAATTATTTCCTTAACCGATTAAGCACATCTTTTAACGAAGGTAATATTTATTAATGATTTTTTTAAATTAGAAAATGTGGCGTCTTTCATTTAATTATTTTGAGTGCCAGGAGAAAATGACTAGATCGATATTTCCTCGCTCGAGTCAGTTAGCCCACGAGCGGAAGCCATGCAAAAAATTGGAACCCGATACGCAAATCGTAAAAAACAAAGAATGAATTTGACCTACAACAAGCCAAATTTTAACTGCATACTCGTGCACATTATCTAAACTAATATTTAATCTGATATATACTTATATTGTACTTAGTGGTACTTCCGCCTCCAGTTTCCTGGTCGGAGAGGACGGAAACGTGTACGAGGGGAGGGGATGGAGCAAGCAAGGCGCTCACGCCCCTAATTACAACTCCAGGAGCATCGGAATCTCCGTGATCGGCAATTTCATGAGTGAATTCCCTTCTTCGAATCCACTGCCAGCAATCACTGCTTGATCAGCGAAACGCGAATTTATTATTTTCGATTTTCAACTGATTTCAAAATCAGCTGCCATCCAAATCATATGGCCGACGTTGCATTTCGATCGATTGTCGCCATATGTCGATCTCAATGCAATTTGAGTGAATTTCCTTCTCCGAAATTGGTGTTTTCAATGTTAAATTTACCAAATTGAATTTTGCTGATCGTATATCATGACAAAAATCGTGATAATGTATTAAACCATTAAAGGCCCAGCTTCAAGTGATCAGCCGCTTGCCAAGTCTTTAAAAAATACTTCTAAAAATTTACAACTTGCAACAAAAAAAATTCGTGCAAACGTGCAAACGTGCAAAAAAAAAATTCATATATATAAAGAAAGATTCAAGCAAAAAACATTCGCAATCTCCCNCAAAAAACATTCGCAATCTCCCTTCACAAATACCCTGGCAATAGATATGAAATATTAATGTAAATATTAAACATTAATGTAAATATTAAATATTGATGTAAATATTAAATATTGATGTAAATATTAAATATTGATGTAAATATTAAATATTAATGTAAATATTAAATATTAATGTAAATATTAAATATTAATGTTTCAAATCCTTCCCACCCGTCAGAGATAGTCCCGAACCCCGCAGCAACGACGGCGCTGAAATCGCTGATCGCCTGCGGCACCCGCCTGGGGAAGATCCGCGGAAACTATTCCCTCATCGGCCACAGACAGACCAAATCCACCGAATGCCCCGGCGATGCCCTCTACAAGGAGATCACGACCTGGAATCATTATAATCCTAAGCCCAAGTGATTCGAATCTCCATTTTGTGTT